ATACTAGGCAAACTCATCTGAGCCTTAAGGAATGTCTAAAAAAATATTAATATGTACACAATAAAATTTATAAGTGATAAAAAAGCAAACAAAATCACAATGAATTTGAAAATTGATGGTGTCTTCAGATGTATAGACCAGTGGAATAGAATAGAGAGCCCAGAAATAAACCCATACACATAGGTAACTGATCTTCAACAAGGGCACCAAGAATACACAACGGGGAAATGATAGTCTCTTTAATAAATGGTGCTGGGAAAACAGGATATCTACATGCAAAAGAATGAAATTGGACCCTTATCTTATACCATACACAAAAATCAACTCAAAATGAATTAAAGATTTAAATGTAAGACGTGAATCTATAAAACTCCTACAAGAAAACAGAGAAGAAAAGCTTCTGGACATTGGTCTTGGCAATGACTTTTTGGATACGACATCAAGAGCACAGGTAACAGAAGCAAAAATAGACAAGTGGGGCTGAACATATATATATAAGGAACTCCTACAACTCCTAGCAAAGATTTAAATAACCCAATTAAAAAATGGGCAAAAGACTTGAATGGACATTTCTCCAAAGAAAACACAAAAATGGCCAATAGGTATATAAAAAGATGCTCATCGTTATTAATCATCAAGGAAATGCAAAGCAAAAATATAATGAAGTATCACCTCACATCTATTGGGATAGCTATTATTAAAAAAACAAAAGATAACAAGTGTTGACAAGGATGTGAAGAAGTTGGAACCTTTGAATACTGTTGTTGGGAATGTAATATGGTGCAGCTCCTATGGAAAACAATATGAAAGTTCCTCAAAAAACAAAAAATAGAATGACCATATGATCCACCAATTCCCTCTCAAGTATATATTCAAAAGAATTGAAATCAGGATCTCAAAGAGATATTAACACTCCCGTGTTCACTGCAGCATTATTCACAATAGCCAAGATACAAAAACAACCTAAATGTCCATTGATGAATAAATGGATAAAGAATATATGGTATATACATACAATGGAGTACTATTCAGCCACAAAAAGGAAATCCTGTCATATGCGACAACATGGATGAACCTAGAAGACATTACACTAAGTGAAATAAGCCATCACAGAAGGACAAATACTGCATAATTCCATTTACATGAGGTATCTAAAACAGTCAAATTCATAGAAACAGAGTAGAATAGTGGTTGCCAGGGACTGGGGGGAGGAAGAAATGAGTTGCTGTTCAATGGGTATAAAGTTTCAATTATACAAGATGAATAAGTTCTAGAGATCTGCTGTATTACGTTGCACCTATAGTTAACAATACAGTATTTGGTAAGAGGGTAGATCTCATGTTAAACATTCTTAATACAAAAAAAAATTAATGGTGTCTTATATTCAAAGAAATACAATAGTAACAATTAAATATTTTCATATGTTATGTGCTTTGATGGCCCTAATGCCTTCCTACCCCTACACTCGCCCCTAATATCTCCACAGGCTCCAACGCTGTGACTAGTTTTCTTCCTACCACGGACCCTGTCTTCTCCAATGAAAGGAATGGCACTAGATCTGACTGAATGATGCTCTCTCCATGTGACCAATAGCAATATCAACCTTATCTCTGGGTTTCAACTGATTGATTCTGAGCCATAACTCTGACTTTAAACGTGGGTAAAGGTTAACGCCAAGGAAACCAAATTTCAGAAAGGTGTTCAGCCACAATGATGAAGCAATGCCCATTAGCCTCTCCTGCTGGTGTCAGTTGAGTATTCTTACCTGTGGTTGTCTACACTGGGCCTTTCATATTAGCAAACCCAGTAATTGCAAGTCCTCCACAGGGACATTTTGCCTGGTGGTTGCCATTATCCTTTTTATTTTGACAACTACCCATTTCCTTATAAACTGAGTTGTGCACAAGAGCTGTGTGGACAGAGAGAACAAAACTTCTAGACTTGTGCCATTAGGTTTAAAGATTTTGGACTCTGTTTTATAGCTTACCAGAGAGCAACAAATCTAGTGCTATTCAGGGGGTTTAATTCCCATTTCATTAGCTACTTTGGCAAAATCCAACAGTAGCCCTGAAAGTAATTTAATTAAAGAATTGATGGACATTACTTCTCTCAGACTAATGAAGTTAATTTTAATGGAGGTAATAATGCCTCCCTGGCAGATTATTGTGAGAATGAAATAAGCTAGCTAGCATATTCTAGGTGTTTTGTAAATTACAAAACGCTAAACAAAATGCAGGTGATTATCACAAGTCTCTTTATTCCTTTGTTACAGCCTCTAGCCTCATTTCTTTCCCTACCTCTTCCTTAGAAGTCTTACCTAATTATTTAGCTGAGGGTAATCCTCAGGCCTGGCTTACTATCACCTCATGTTTTCAACTAGTAAATTGATTCAATAAACATATTTGGAAACCCCACAGTGGGCAAGTCTCGGAGTTGTTATACAATACACAAGATGTTAAAACACACACACAATGTATATTACAAAATGAGGCCACTATGCACACAACCAGTTAGACAACTCTTAAACTCTTACTCACATTGAGTGCATACAAGGGCTGGGAACCGGAGATTAAAAGAGTATTTATGGAGAAGATTTAGAGAGCTATTGGGCACTCTAACACCAAGAAGGCAAAGTGGGAGATGCTACCTCCTATTCCCACATCAAGAGAGAGGGGCTTCAAATCCAACATCCAGGTTTATATGGGAGCTTCTGGACTGGTGTCTGATTTCCTGTTGAAAATTTTAAAGGGTAAGAGATGGAATGCCTAGGAATGAGCCAAAGATAAAATGACTGCATTAGGCATCTGAGCTCCTATCATTTGTCAGTGGAAATAGAAGTGTTCCCTATGGATCCAATGTGGGTCATGCTACAAAAGAGCCAGGATAGTTGCCTGAGGTTGTTTCCAAATGGACCATGCAGAGTGGAACTCCACTAAGGGTAATAATGATCATGATAATCAAGCACATTTAATCTCTCCAACTAAATATCATTTGTATTTGATTGTGGCTTTGAGGAAAGAAATTGTCTTATCAATTTGTTACCTGGATTGGTATAGGCATCACTCTCATGGGACTTACTGTGTGGTCTGTAAACGGTGTCTTTAGAAGATTTTACACAGACATATCTAACATTATGGAAGAAGGAACCTTCAAGTATATGTCACACAAATGTGTATTCAGATCACATGATATTTATTGATATTTATGCTTAAATCCACTTTGATATTCAATATGGTCTTAGATGGTAAGGTAGTGTAGACATTGAAAAAAAGGACAGGAATAACTGACAAGTCTATCCCAAGGTAATATCATGGAACTGCATTTTATAAAGATGTCAGTATTTTTGCAATCAGATGTATTAATTACATCTTATAGAACCATAGTGAAAAACATTATATTCTCTCCATTTTAAAGACAGAGAATTTGAAAATAAGCTTAAAGAACTCAAGATCACATCCTCTGAGAAAAGGGAGGTTAGTGTAAAGAAATCCATCCACTGAATAAATCTCTGCTTATCCTTCCCGTTGGAATAATTTTTAAAGTTGTGCTGATTATACTGAGATTGTAAGAGAAAGAAAACCTTCCTACCCACTGGTAACACGTATAAATGCTCTTACATGTGTTCCCTGGGCCCAGATACAAGCAGTTTTGCTCATATTCTGCCTAACTTTTGTAGGAGACCAGCTCCCTCCCAGAACTCAAGAATTACAAAAGCTGTTTGAGTTCATACTCTGGCTGCAGGTGGCAAAGACCCAGCTCAAACAAAAAGAGAGCCTTGCAAGCTCATGTACAGGTATGGCTGGAGAAGTTGGCCTTAGGCATATCCAAAATCAGGGACCCAAATGTCCTGGGGATGTTCCCTCTCTATAGCTCAGTGTGTTTGTATTTCAGCTTCTTTCTCTCCAACTGGAGCTTAGCTGGTGGGGGGGGGGGTGTGCGCACGTAGGGGGGAGATGAGGTGTTGGTGCCAGACTCACATACTTATGACTTGGTGACCAGAGAGAAATAAGAAAATTGGTTTCTCTCTCATTTCCATTTTTTAAACATGGGAGAAATAACCTACAGTCATGTACTGCATAACAATGTTTCGGTCAATGACAGACCACATGCACATACAATGGGGGTCCCATAAGATTAGTACCATATAGCCTAGGTGTATAGTAGGCTAAATCATCTAGGTTTGTGTAAGTACACCCTATGATGTTCGCACAGCAATGAAATCGCCTAACAACACATCTCTCATAACGTATCCCCATTGTTAAGTGACATGTGACCGTAGATCCTGGGTCATATGCCCACCCCTGGGTATAACCACTGTGGACAGAGGAGAACCACCAAAATATTCTGGGCACACACACAACCCCTTGGCCAGGGGGTGAGTCTATTAATAGAAGGGCAACACAGATGCCAGGCAGACTAGCACTAGAGCCACTTTAAAACGCAAGCAAACTCAACACGCCATTGGAAAATTAACTAATGCATGTGTATCCTAAAGGAATGTTAGAAAAAAGCAGAAAAAATATTAACACATGAAGCCTGGGATAATTAATTTTTATAGACAAATGATTGGCTCTGACAAGGAGCAAAGTGCAGAATTCATTTAGGTAAACATTTCATTTGTTCTTTCATGAAGGACAACATCTTTTCTTTGGTAAAATAAAAAGAAAAGCAACAACTTGATTAGAAGTGGTGAAGTGTGCTGACTTTATTTATTGTTGACCATTCTACCAATCTCTGTTGTACTATTCCCACGAGTAGTCACACCATTCCCAAATGAGAAAAACGACAATCACACTGATCTATGTCAATTTAGACTATTTATTGTATTCCTTAACATCCATGGCACTCTTTACCCTTTAAGAATATAAAATCATCTACTTAGGTTTTGCCACTTGAAGTTGGGAACATTCTTAGAATCACATTATCCTAAAATAATAGAGTGGAATGAAAAGCAAATAAGTTTGCAAATATAGCAACCAGCAATAATATAAATTTTTCTAAATCATAACTCTAACATAGATATATATTATTTTCCAGACCTCACAAATTCTAAGACGAGTCCATTTTACCAGTAGTGGTAGAGTATGCTTTCAACCGTGAAGCTAGCCAGAAAGATTATTTTATATATGGAGTGTGCTTCTCACAAAAAGCCTCTCTCCTCCCTCTGTGAATGACACAACTGTAGCTGTATCTGAAGATAAAGTGAGTTTCAGTGACAACCATAACCTAAAAACATGCATAAATTCCTAGACCTGGTGCCAGAGGAATGCTATATTGCACTGTACTATGCTTACCTCTCTCCAGAGGACAGCTGTCTGGCCTGTCTTCAGGATTCTTGAACTTTTTTCTCCCATGTGACATGCAGGATGCTTCCGAAGCAATCCCCCCCGGCAACTGTTTGGCACTGAGGATACCTCTGAGGAGAAGTTCCTTACAAAACCCAGTCCACCATGTTTATTTTCTAACAATGAAAGCTCACTGCTCTTCAAATCCTGGATTTGCTCATATCTCCCCTAGTTGGATAATGCTGAGTTAAAAGTACTTTGTTAAAGGAAGTAGCTTGGGCAGAAGAAAGAACACCATTCTGTAGAAAAAGGCATCCAATATTTAGAAACTTTTCTGAACAAAAATAAAAGAGCCTGAAAAGAAAGAATTTTTTTTTTGCTGAAACTCTGCTGTCATCATGACTATGGATTCATGATAAATTACCCACAACCCCTCTTGGCTTAAGAGGGCGTATTGTCCAAGTAGCCCACTAGGCTTCAATCACATCAAGAAAGACTCTCAAGGACACTTTTGGATACACAGGAATACTGCACTGTTTTAAAATGAGAAGACTGACTTGATCTGTCAGGTTTATAGCCCTCTTCTTATAATAAGCCTTAGTCTTTGGTAAAGCACAGATGGTTGGTTGGTTGGTTTATAAGGCAACTTCTTGGTGGGATGTCAGCACCCACAGACTCCCCACCCTTTGGTATCTTCCATGAATCAGTCATTTCTCCCACACAGAGATATTCCTGTTTGCCGCCTTTGGCATCTATTTAGTTATAAAAAGTGTGGGAGGAGGAAGGATGCTCTAGGAAAACAAGATGTAATCACAAAATCATGGGCTCCAAAAGAGAAGTCAGACCAGGGTGATGGAAAGACATAATCATCAAGACAGCATTTCTCCTGATCAAAATTCACATATATGGTATCTTTCAGGACTCGCACAATGCTGCCTTGGGTGTACTCTGGGTGGAGTTATTTTTCTCCCTCATTCTTTTTTCCTATATGTCATGGTTTAGTTATGAGGGAAAGCACATCAGTGAAACTCTTCCTAAGGGCCCATCTTGGTACAAACTGCACATAATTCAGTGTACAAAGCACAGAAGGTGAAGATAAATCCAATGTGAGCACCAATTGTAAAGACAGTCTTCTCAGCACTTATAAAACAAATAATCATATATATTTTCTTTTTTTCATTAAAATATCACAGCATACTTGAGAGAACAAAGTCTGTATATGGCTACATGAAGCATAAGATTCTAGAAGAAAACTAATCAAAAACTGCTTGTTAAATATACAATTCTCTTACTGACATCCTTTCAATGAAATCCTATTTGGTGAAAATGACAAACACATGGCCTGGGACAAATGACTACTCCACATTTCAAGTTGCGATCTGTCGCATTGGCGTGAGTTTTGGTGAAACCTGGTAAAAGAAAGAGAAAAAAATAATCAACTTATAAAAAACCTCATGGTATAGACAACACTCCTTTGAATTTCCAAACTTGAATGACGTAGGCAACAAGCAGCCTTGCCATGGACCTCCCCTGGAATTTCCTCATTATTTTCCATTCTGAACCAGTAAGACAGAGAACTCCTTTTCTGTTTCCATTTTGTGTGTTTAAAAGTTCTCAACCTTCTTGCATTATAGCTCCTAAATTAAGGATCATGAAGACTGGCAGCAAGGAGGTGGTGAAGGAGGAGCAGAGGGAGATAAATAAAGCATCCAGAAAACCAAGCTCGCGACTGCGTGGATCAGGTTGATGCCTCTGAGACTTCACTCAAAACAGAGACACAGAGTGAGGCACAAGTTTCAAAATCCTCAATATAGGTCCAGCCAAGTCACAATTTTGTTAAGATACACTTAATGCAGTCTTTGGGTTAACTGGATACATATTAATGAAGACATGTATGGTCAATGACAAAGTTTTATCAGAAATTTCAGAATCAGAATGGAAGTGATATAAAGGTGGTAAAAAGATTCCAACTTATTACAAAAAGGAGGTAATAGCATTAAAAATATTAAATGTTGACTATAATTATGTTCATTGTACAGAACAGCAAATGCATTCCTAGGAGTCTTGAAGCAGAGAAAAACGAGGACAGGTCAACATTTAATGACAGAGCTGGTGGAAGAAGAAACCTAAATGTAAGTGGTCTGGCTTAATTTTGACAGATTTTTCAAGGCGTAATGCCAGGTACAGATTTCTTCATTCAATCTGGCAAATATCCACTGAGTCCTGGTAAGTAACAATCCCCAAGGAAAGCACAGTAGGAATATTAAAATTCAGGTGATTTTTTTTAGCCCTCAAGGATATAGCAATCAAAGTTGGCCTAATTGGCATTTTGTCTTCCAGAATAAACAGTTAATATTTTGTTAAATTAATGAATGAAAAAACGAGTGAATGGATTAGATAAGCTTCAAAGAACTAGAAGAAAGATTTCTAATAGAGTTTAAGTCAGTATTAAAAATAGGAGTAGGCAATTATTTGGCTTTGATGAGGTTAAATATTTTTTAGCTCATTTATAAATTGTTTCTGTATTAACTCTTCACAATGTCAAGATTTAATGCCCCCTTTTCCATTTTTCTACTAAAACAATGACATGATCAGAATAAAAGGGACGGCACGCCTTGGTATATAGCTTAGGATAAATGAGAGCTCATTCAGACTTGCCAGTTCCAAGAGCAGATATACAATAATAGACAAAATAATAGACATATAATAAATAGACAAAAGTCACAGCCCATATTTGCATAGATCTTCAACTCGACTGAAAAGAAAAAATGACATATGGTCTCTGAGTATTTAGAAAATGTGTCTCACAAACAATCCATTTTCTTTTCTTAACAACAGAGCATCTGTGGAAATAATTTAATGAAATAAAACTCTTCTTTTTTGAAAACAGGTCATTTCCAATAGATGCTTTATAGCATTTCCTTTAAAAAGAAACTGAACACCTTACACCTTAAGTTTTTAAACTAAACATCTGATCCTTTTCCTTGTCATGATGCCCCAATTTTGAGCTCTTAATATCATTTATATTCTCAATGTGGAAACTGACTTTCATCAAAAGAGAAGAAAATGAAGCTGTATGTACACTGACTAGGCCTGTCTATTTTTGCAACAAAAAACATCTACTAAACCACCATTTTTCATTCTGTTCTCTCACAGTCTCATCAACGTCGTAAGCCCATGCAAGTTAAAGCCGATTATACTGCCAAGGTTATCTACAGGCTAGGCACAAGACTATATGACTTAAGTGTAGAAGATAAGCCAACGATTTGTCTTCCCAGTCCATTACAATCCCAGGAGTATACTGTTTAATTCTAGTATAATGCCAGCTCATAATAGATATTGAGAGTATAAATTTATTCAACGTGGCAAAGAATGCCTGCAGCTGGCTTCTTTAAGATTCCATTGCAAACATATAAATAAGCAGTATTCTTATTTAATTTTTGCCACTGGTGGTTTAGGTGTATTTCTGCCTGGAGAATAAGCCCAAGACCTTTGGGAGTAGGAACTATAGCAATTTGCTCTATTTTATTCACATTTCATAGCTCAACATGGGGCATACACTGGCTGTTTAACGCATAATCATGGATGACTAATGACCTCTGCAAGTTTATTCTACCACGTGATTTTCAAATATGGATTTAATTTGTTTTTAATTTTTTAAAAATGAAATAAGGTCTCTGAAATAAGATCTCTGTCCATTATGGGTTGGCTTCTCTTGCTGTGAACAATTCCTGACCAGAATCTTATTTTGGGAGTGCAGTGAAGGTTCCAGAAATATAGTCAATACTTGCATTTCTATGACAAATTTCCACAGCCTCCTTTGGAGTTCCATATATGCCTCTTAAGAGACTTGCATACCAATTGAAAAGAAAACTCCTCCTTTCAACTGACACAAAATCATGAATATAACTCATCATACATTTTTTTGTCATTACGATTTTTTAAGAAGCTGTTTCAGGTTATACTTAAAGGACACATTTTCCTTCCACATTTTTTGTTCTTGTTGCTAATTGCACTGTGGTATCAGGAAAGTCTTAGTAATTATTTTTGAAATGGCCAAATATTTCATTATAACCATTATTTTTTAATACCCTGAAACCATAGTTTTGTCACGTCCTGATGCTGTCAATTTTCTCTTTTTCTTTGAAATTCTCAGTATTTTCTCAATCAGCTTATACCCATATTCTGTATCTTTTGCCCATTCATGTACTCATATTCTTAGGTATATGGTACTTAATACCAACACATTTTCACAATTACTCTGACCAAGGTTTTTACCTTTTTTTCTTTATTATGCAACAACCTGGCTGTCTAACTATTCCCTTCTAGAATGTTCACTTCCAGTTATACAGTGAAGGCTGAATGGGCCTTTTCTCACACAGAAATCTTGAGTAACTTGTATATATACAGTCACATATAGAGTAAAATCCTACCTATGCAGTAATAATCACATGGAATATCATCTAGATCATAACATGAAGTACTTTCTGAATTATCAAATAAAGAAATGTTATCCTTAATGTACTTCTATTATTAAATGTATCTTATTGATAACTCAGCTTTAAGCAGAACATTTTATTAATCAGAGCACTCTAGTCCCCAGCCTTACAGAGAAACAATCCACTACATGTGATTCATCTGTCAGGGTCTAAAGAGATACCATTGGTCATCAGATCCTCAAAAGCCAGTTCTTTTGTCGAGATGGTTCAGCTGATGTAACTACACCTTTTCACTGTCAGAACAACACTGACATACAAATTAACATTTCATCTCAACAGCTTAATTTGGAGGAAACAAGATTACATGTCAATGTCAAAAGAGGAGGGGTGGTACCGTAATAAAAGAGGGACCATAGAGATATTTTTCAATATTTTCCACATCAAAACATGGAAATTTGCATTTTTTTTTAAAAAAAGCAAAACCAGTAAAAATCTATCTTCTTCGTTCCTGATTTACCTACGTGAATAAAAAAGAAACAGATAACAAGGGTCTTCCATTGTATAGTCTCTTTTGCAGCAGAGAATTGAATATTCTGTGGATCTCAGAAATGCTACCTGCCGAAGAAGAGGTTAACTCATCTACACGGGGGAAAAAATAGCTGATTAAGTAGAAGAACTGTTGGGGGCCGGCCCCGTGGCATAGCGGTTAAGTGTGCGCGCTCCGCCGCTGGCGGCCCAGGTTCAGATCCCGGGCACGCACCGATGCACCGCTTGTCAGGCCATGCTGTGGCGGCGTCCCATATAAAGTGGAGGAAGATAGTCACAGATGTTAGCCCAGGGACAGTCTTCCTCAGCAAAAAGAGGAGGATTGACATGGATGTTAGCTCAGGGCTAATCTTCCTCACAAAAAAAAAAAAAAAGTAGAATTGTTTGCTTTTGTCACTGGAGTAAGAAATTCTAAATAAAGTACAAACAAATCCTTTTTTTTCCCTGAGGTTATTGAAAAGCTAATTATAGATGTGCTTTTCGTGCAAGGTATTGCTGACAGACGTTTTTTTTCCAAAGGGAAATTCAAAAAAGGTTAATAGACAAAGACCTTCATACAGGACCAGAAACAGTTATATGTGGACAATGAATTATGCAGCAAAATCGTTTTTACAGAAATTTGTTATGCACTGATAGGTACCAGCCAAGCGTGTAGTACCTAAGGAAGAAATGTATGAAATATATGCATGATTTATCAAATATGTTTTGTTAAATTACTTTCCCCAGGATGGGCAGCTGTAACATTTCTTCTTCTTATAAATATATTTCATTTTAATGAGTAGAACTGTTCTTAAAAGGTATGTGAGAAGCAAATTCTTTTCTTTCCTTTTTCAGAGACATTTCACCTTTACTTTTGATTAACTTCAAATGGACTGAGCCATCCTCTCAACCCCAATTAGGTAGGTGATTGGTGATTTATAAACAAGCTTTTATATTAAAGGGCAATTATTTATATTACAGTTTTAGTCTCTCTGTTTTAAAAAGAAATCTGAGGATTTCCTGAATGGATACTCCCCTGATGTACTTATCTGCTTTGTAAGTCAGAGTTTTTATGCACTATGTTTTTCTTCAAATGCAGGATATACCTCTTCCGTGACTATAAATCTGGTGGTGTCAGAAGCCCAACATGCTAATATCTTCAATGGATGGAACAATCAGGCATAGAAGTTAATCAAAGAGCAAGTCATAAGCCACAGATGGGTTTAAAAATAAGGAAGTATCATTTCTCTGTGTGTGGCTCACATTTTTGAGTTAATCAAGTTTAGCCATGGCTGACATGTAACCCAAGAACAGAGGACTGTGAGCGACTTTACAGAAAGTAGCTTAGGGTTCAAGCTTGACTTTCTGTTTCCAGCAGCTCCTGGTGGTTCCTCCCTCTCCTGCTTCTGACTCCTGAGCCAAGCCCTGGCCTGTGAGTCAGAGCCTGCTCCTGCTCCCACCTGCTCTCATCTGGAGGCACCCTTCCTTCCACTCCTGTTCTCTGCAAAGGTCAGCTCCAAAAATGATCACAAATTAATGGTTCATGTCCTATAAACACCCATTAATCAAGCTCGTGATATAGGACAAGTGGCTGGATTTGTTCACAGAAACACTTACTGCAAAATCACACCCAGTGCTCTTTTTTATGTCATCCACAGTCAGGCCTTCCCAGAGTTCCATCAGAGTCAGCCCTTTCTTGTGGTCCACATCAAACACAGCCTGTCGGAGTCAAGAAAATGACAATGACAATTTTTATCACAGTACTTATTTTATGACACAAAATAGAAATAACCTCTCAAGTTCCTAAAAGAGAGACAAGACCCAGGTAAAAGACTGTCAAAATCAGCAATGAAAAAATGTCAACCGTAACTATTATATTTTGCTGAGAATAGATGCTAACTCTCTAACTGGCAATTAGTTGTGATGCACTGTTGATGCCAGAAAATAAATGAGTGTTGACTATTGATGGCATTTGTTACTATTGTAACCAGTTTTTTTAAACTACTTTCCTTTTGTTAAGTCTAACACTTTCGCCCAAAATGTCAATTAGATGATTAATAATGATTTGAAGAAAGAAAGGAATGAAGAAATGGCGGGAGGGGGAGGAGGAGGGAGGAGAAATTTGAAAGGTGAAAGCACTGGGATGCTGGGGGAAAAGTTGATCCCCGTTGCTGGGTAAAGAGTTACAGGAAACAAAAGAAGAGGCTCTGAAGAGGCTGAGAGTCCTTATAAAGGGTTAGCAGTCCTGGCCCTGAAAGACCCCCAGGTAAATATTAAAGCTCTCCCTTTAAGTCCTGTGAAAACAGAGAGGTCCGAGAGGATAGCATGAGAATCTCCCTCTGATACACAAATCAAATGAAGATGCTTATGTTTAGGACAAGACAGAAGGCTAACCTTACTCTAAACCTTCCATTACAACATTCTGGTTGGTAACACCGGTGATGGTAGTGCCAACTGGTACAGCTTAACCTTCAGCAGATAGATTCAATCTGTTGTATCCGATTTAGAACACATACTGTCACATCTAGAAATATGACAACTTGACTGGAAGGGACTGACAGTCATTTAATATAATCTCCCACCCCCGAATTCTTAAAAACATTCTTCTGAGATGGTCACTGGGGCTCTGCTTAGAAACTTCCAGAGGCAGGAGGCTCACTTGTCTCAAGGCTGTTTGCGTATTGATGGGAAGCTCTAACCGTAAAAGCCAAAAGCGCTTCCCTATGACTTCAACTCGCTGTTTCTCCAAACTGTCCTCCAGTGCAATAGCCACTGTTGCCTCTTTCAGCTTTCACAGTTAGTTTCCTCTTTCTCAGACTTAAATATTATGCTTCCCAGATCTCTCCTCTCTTCTGGATTTACCTTAAATTCAACTTCTGGATTTACCTTAAATTCAACTATTATTTACAGGCTTAGAGTCTTTATTTTCAACTAGTTTTGAAGTCAAACTCTAATTTGTCATTTTTAAACACACTCCTGGTGAGGAGGCAAACATGAAGACAAAGCAACATGTAGAGGAAAGAACCTGGCTTTCGAGTTGTACTGGAATTCCAGCTCTGCCGCACACTAGCCATGCAATCTTTGGTGAACCTGTTTTGGCATCTGTAGATAGATATCAAAAAACCTACTTCGCAAGATTGTTATACAGGGCAAATATAATAAATAACAAACATACTCTAAGCACTTGGCATCATGTCTGGGACATAGCAGGAGCACGATACAGGCTCGTTCTTTCTCCTTAATAGCTTAACTTATCATCACTTGTGTGTGAACCCAAATCAAAGGCTCGAAATGCTTATTTGTCTCCAGTTAATTGATACTTTTCCCCAGGAGCAAAACATCAAGGGGACCAGTGATGCTTGCATTCTCTGTTTGTTTGATGAATTCACAGATAACCTAGTTGATTTTACTGGAAAAGATTATTTAAATTTAGGAGGAAATATTTCAGCAAATTTCTTTTGTGTTTGCACATTTTTATGTTCCTAAAAAACCCTTTTTTCAGCAGGAATATGTGTTTTGAGAGGGGAAAAAATGGTCATTTAGGAATATGTGTATGCTGTATTAGTTTATTTAATTCCAAAATGACAATTAAATATTTTTTTTAAATGAACATTTTTCCTTTGCAGAAAATGTGTCTGGAGCACTATTCATACTGATGTTCTTTTCCCTGCATTATGAGCAAATGTAAATTTATCAAAATGGAACAAATAGAAAAAGAGCTTCTAGATTGTGTTATTAAAACAAGTAGGTAAGGGGTTTGGGAAAAAGAAAACTGTGGTATCATGAATATAAAGCTTTGATGATCAGGGAGATAAAATCTACGGCAAATTGACTTATCACTTTAAAAAAACTTTTATTAACACCTTTATCAAACCCTAATTAGCTCTCAAGGTCATATACTGGAAAGCCAAGAATCTATTATTAAAAAGAGGGAAATTTACTTTTGAAATATTTAGGAAGATTTCCATTTAGTGGTATAAAGTATAAATAAAAACTTGATAAAAATGGAAGCTGTGTTTTCTTAATTCCTCCATGACTCTGCCTATTTTCTTCCCTTTGTCTAGAAGGGCTTCTTGGGTCTTATTCTCAGTTTTAAAACTTCTACTTATTTTTCAAGACTCATCACTCAATCTATCAATTTTCTCATCAAGAAAAGCACAGTACATTTATTTAACAACATTCACTGTGTATGGGCAAGCACCACGCTAAGTGCTGGATAAACAGTGAGATAGGCAGAGCTTACAGGTTATTTCAAAACAGTGGTCAGTGCTAAGTTAGGGTAAGTACTAGAATTCAGGGAAGCATCCAGAAGACTTGGGGAGGGATAGGCAAGACTTTCCAAAGAAAGAAATACATAGCTGAGACATAAAAGATGAGGAGGAATTAGCCAGATGGATGGGCTAGAAAGAACATTTCAGAAAGAGAGACAGGATGTGCAAAGTCCCAGAAGAACATAGTTGGGGGGAAAGCAACATAGTTCACAGCATTTAGGGATGGCCACAGTGGGGAGAATGTTAAGGCAGAAAGAGAGAAACTAAGACTGGAGGAGAAAAGGTACAGACTGTGAAATGCCTTACAAAAAAAGTTAAAAGCTTGTATTCGATAGCACCTAGAAGCTTTGCCCGATACTCTCCCCAGGCTGTTAGGCAGCCTTCCTCTATGTTCCTAACTCAGCATCTGGCATGTATCTCAATCACGGCCTTTATCATGTTTGTTACTCTAACTGCTGGTACTGCTGGAAGCTTGATGTCTACCCCTCCTGAATGTGCTCCTTGGGGGCAGAGACTATCCTCCTCTCTGCAGCCCACTGTTGGGAATAGCCTGGTTCAGAGAAGCTGCTCACAAAATGCTCAGTAACAAATACATGAATAAAACAACAATGAGGATGAAGAGAAAAAATATACAAGTTTTTTAAAATGGCAGTTAAGTTAAACAACAACAACGTATTTCATAAGAAAGTTATGTCATAAGAAAACGCAGGTATTGGATGATAAGTGCCTATATGAATGGTGGACCACTCTGCGGATGAAATCGTGAGTGCTGAGAGGGTCAGAAACCTCTTCGTGATGAACACGGAAATTGCATTAGCCTTGAAGGATGGGTGGGATTTAGGGCGGCAGAGTGGAGTGGGAGGCACTGCAGGTAGAAGCACTGAACTGGCAAGAACAAGGGCAGGGCACACACAGAGTGGGGAGGGGAGAGGGCTTACTTGGGAGAGGAGAAGAGGAAGATGGGGGGAAATGTTGCTGGAATTATCCTTAGTAGCTCTACCACTTTGTTAAAGAAAGCAGGATCAAGGACTGCTTTGCCTTTATTTTCAGAGTAATGGATTCCTTTCAACAAGTCCTGTCCATAGTTTTGGAGGGGTTCAAGAAATGGTAAGACTCAGGGAATAAATGGTGAGATCAACTATTCTGCCCTTTCATCCACTTGTTCTTCTCTACAAGCCAGCCTCATGGAATTCCACATAAACAGTCTTGGGGAAGGCACCATTTAGGACAGAGTGTTCCCTAAAATGTGGCTTCTGGAAAGTATTATGAACCTCCTAACCTACTTCAAAGGGCTGCTTTAGGGTGCTTCTTACCACACCTCAGTGAGGGTTAGCGAACCAGGTTAATGCAAAGACGCTACAGCTATGGCTCTTGGCAAAAGCAACAGCATCATTAAGAGAAAAACAAACTCTGATACAGATAATTCTGTTTTATGGTTTCATCAAGATATTGAATCAAGAAAATGATACCCTCCTAGCTCACTTATGAGAATTATGTCATTTCAACATCCTAGATTCAAATCTGGGTCAGACAGGTGACTGTACAGACAACTGCCAGTGACGCTTCTCTCTGATCTGAGCAGCTTTAAGCTATACCATTGGCCAACATTTTCTAAGAAGAAAAAGTCTAGAGAAGCACTAAAATGGCTGGTGTGTTGTGAAGTTCACTTTATAAAAGAGGGCTGAAAACATGCAAGAACCACAGAATAAATTTCTTGGTTTACTGTGGGGGCTATACTGCAATATGCACCCAAATGATTAAAACCCAATTTTTACTGAGTTTATTAAAATGAAATCCAACAATTTGTTACTTGTGATTTGGGAAAGCAAAAAATAAAGGTAGAAATGATAAATATTGCTTAACTTTGTATATATCATCCACATTAATAGTCCAAGCACAAGGATCAATAGAATTTTGATTATATCACTCTGTCAAAGTTACTGAGGACCATAGCTCAACATTGTGTGTATACGTCGACTGCCAGAGAGTTGCACATTAAGAATTCTACATTTAGCAACATTAAATTGATGAATTTTCCTATTCAGTCTACCCACGGATTAAATTAATCCTATGACTACCAATATAATACACTTTCAGAAGGTAAAAAAAATTCTAAAAATGCATATAAATAAAAAAGGCAGTGGTAGATATTAGGGAGAATAAAAAGAGAACGGCATTTTACCTTTTCAGTAATGATGCGATTGACACACTGCTTTCCAGTCAGTGGTAACGTACATTTCTCCAGGATTTTATGTGCATTTCCCTGTTTAAAAAAAGAAACCAAAAAGAGTAGTTAGGGACCAATCCTTATTTAGAATTGGTATAACTATAGGACAAATAGGAACTATCAGAGAAATTGTCTCCTAAGTACAGGCTGTTTCAAATCTTTGCACAGTCATGCTTTTACTTTCTTTCTGGAGGCAGCTTCTGTCCCTAAAATAATTTAGGGTGAATGCCAAATGAATAGCCAAAGGCATAAATGATTTAGTTGGAAACATCCTGCCACAAATTGTACCCCTCGAATCTCAGTCCTTACATCATGTAATGAGATATTTTACTTCTAGTATTGTGCTTATTTTTCTCTTCCAGGGAATCATCTCCTTGACAAACATGAGCTATTATTTACCAAGGGTCCCTAGCATACACGGGACACAAATGCATAATATCCCTTTTAGAAAAAAATTTTAATTTTATTTGTTAAAAAAGTACTATATACACAGAAAACAGCAGTTCTTGCCTCCCTTCTATACCCTTAGACCTGCTCTCAACAGGAATCAATTTCAACTTCTTTTAGCCCTTTCTTTTTTACTTCTATACATTTTCTTCTTACTTCTGCATTTTTCAATATTAAGTTTACCATGCTATTTATTTCTTGAGTAATCAATTGTAGACATTATCTACTAACTTCTCATTGGGTCACATGAAGACTTAACTCTTACAAACCCCTTCAGTTCCCCCAGTATAGCTATGTCACAATTTGGAGGTAACTCAATAGTCAGAATTTATATCCTAATGACAAAATGACCATGTAAAATGGTTCATTGCTGGGCCATTTTAGTGAGGTAAATTCATGATTATATTCACTTTCTTATACAGCTATTTGCGTTTCTTAGAATTTGTCTGACCCTCAGTTTGCTCATTGGTAAAATGTGTGAGCTGACCTAAATCCACATTTTTCAGTTTTCTTTAGCCACAGTACCCTTTCTTCAAACACAAAATAAAAGGGGATTAAGAGTGGAAAGCAAGTTTTCACCCATTAACCATACCCCCCCACACTCGTCACCAGTATAGAGGTGGCCTCTGAGGCACATACAGTTGAAACATTAACTCTGATGATCTGATTATGATCATCATTAAGCTCCTTTCTAAGTATCAAGCACCAGGAGCCTAAATTAACATTTCCCTTGAGGCTGATCTATCACATTCTAGATCTTCTATTAAAAATGGCAAAATTCTTCTATTCCTTCCTTTTTGGATATAAAATCCCCACACATGATGTCGTCATCATCTTTAGCTATCTCAGTGTTTTACCTACTAAAATACGCACCTGCTACCTGGTTTACATCTCTCTCAAAACTGCCATCAGACCAAGTACATGATCAGAGAAGAAATTTCAGATAACTCGGCTTAATTAAGAAGATTTTACTCCCTGTGATAACCTGTCAACTTACCAATGCACCAGTAATTAAAAGGTTTTAGTGTACTTAACCCAGTGCATGACCCAAAAGGCAGTCAATATTTTTTGAATGAATGGGAAGAAAAAGGGAAGTCTATTAGGAATCTAGGATGGATTTCAAAAACAGATAAACTCTATTACTTTAATTTAGTCAAAACTAGTGCTAAATACATATAAAGTGTATAGACATTACACCTTTAATAACAAGTTATATGCTTCTAGATCCTATTGTTTAAGAAAATTCATAGCGATAGAAATAAAACCTCATTTTCACTTCATTTTTAATGATCTATTTTCCTTTCCAAGCTTCAAAGAAAGTTTGCACGTGTCACAGAAGCTTAATTAAAGAGCTGAAATTAATGATGAATATTCGAACTTCTACAGTTGTCAGGTCTCCTTACATTTCATGTAACTCAAATATGGCACGTCACAATGAATTCCAGGTCTGTCCGCGAACAAAGTGAACAATCTGTGGGCCTCTGAAGAACATTTTCTGTAGGGAGCTCTTACTTTGTTCTCATTATTTGAGCAAGATCTACATCTGGTGTGAAAGCAGCCACTTGGATTTTAATGAACAACTAGCTCCGTTTTAGGAGGAATCATGAAGAGCATAGTGGATCAGAGTGTGGGCTGGAGCCAGCAAAGCCTGACCCTGCTCCACACCAGCTGTGCAGGGTTCCCATGCCCGTGCTTCCCCACCCATCTCACCTCGTGGGGTTATTGTAAGGCTTCATAAGATGCAAGTGTTCAGCACTTAGCAAGTGCTCGAAAAATGTCAGCTAGTACTGTTCATACAACAGACATTTAACATTTCTACAATCTACCAGGGAATTCTTTAGGAGCTCTTAAGTTCCTACATGAAGTTGGACATATGATTATACAGAAAATGGCCTACACACAATTCCTGAGACCCACAAAACTAATGAAACCACGACATATTTGGGGGCAAACCATATGTCTGGCCTGGGAAACTAGCACCACGCATATTCTTGCAGTGAGAACAATGTAGTTAGATGACTCCATTCACATTTAGCTCCGAGACATAACACAGATCAAGGAAAAAGAGAAAATGAGATGCAGAAAGATTAAAGAATGTCACAATTCACTATTCAACAGTAGGTTGGCTATGAAGCCAAAATATGACTAACGCCCACTTTAGCGCTCTATTCTAACCATGCGGGACTGAGCCACAACGTGGTGTCGCAGCTGCATAGATTAATGAATCACAAAGGAGGAACAATTGCTGAGTTTTTAACATTTAAAAATAAATCCTAAAAAAGAGATGCAGTATAGTGTGGTAGCAAAGAACACTATATTATGAGTCCAAAGACCCAGTTTTTTATCTTAACTCTGCCATTTAATAGTCATTTGGTCCTTTAAATTCTTTGTGCTGAGGTTTTCTCTTCGACTGCCTTGTCTTCCTCACCTGACCACTGTAGGAACCATGAAATGTTTTGAAAGTGCAGTCAACGAGGAGGGGTTGACTCTACATGCAAATATCTAGGGTTAGCGGGGTCTTGTTCATTCCCATCATTCTGCTTTCTTTCTTTCTCCATGAAGAAAAGTCAGAAAAGGCAGAGGAACGGGTACAAAGTGTAGCGTTAAATGCTTTGACTAGTCCCAAGGGCTTCGGCTTTCAATATGTACGCCCTTATTTGCTAACTTCATCACAACTTTGGAACAAATCTCTCTCCTCCACCTGCTTCTCCAGCTTTTCTCTCCCTGCCTCCCTTCATCACTTGCAGGCCTCGTGCAAGACCTAGGAATCCACCATTTTCTTTTTAAATGACTCAGGGCCTTGGTACTTTCCATTACTTGCTTCATGGTGTTCTCTCTTTAATTCTTTAGATATCCGTGTGAAACCCTGGGTCAAAATTCTTCAGTAATAAACAACTCTGGTTAAGTGATAATAAATCCCCTTGTAATCATTACAATAAGCTTTATGTTATCACAATAAACTTAATCCCGAATAACAAGCTCTCTTTTTCATAACCCAATGATTTTTGCACTTGATGTCAACATTTCATTTACCCAAGGCAATGGAGCATTCATGTAAGATTTTGCCTTACTACATAAAACCCCATTTTATGCCCATATTTCCTGTTAAGTGCTTCTTAAGTGTGGCTGCAATATATTTCTTCTTTCAGGCACCTTCTTTGGGAAGGCCCTAGTGATCTTTAGGAAACCCCTAATGATCAAGTACAGGGAAGGCTTGAGAAGGTGGTTGCTCCCTGAGGAATCAAGTCTTTAAGCCTTTGTCCATGCTACCTGAAACACACACCACCAAATACCCCATCACCCCACATTCAAATGGCAACACCCTTCCTATTCTTCAGGCCTTGCCTCAGGTGTCATCCTCCCTGGAGAAACCATTGCCAACACCCCCAATCCGGTGCCCCCACTCCAATGTCCCAGGGACATTCCCCGTCTGGTGCACCTCTGAGGTGCTCCTGTGCTTCCTTCACTCACCACACACGTTGTAATTGTGACCTCCCTTCACCCCCCACTAGACTCTGAGCTCACTGAATATGCTGAGACAATTTGTCTTCATATCTACAGCAATGGGTAGAGCACTAGGCAAACCACAGTGATCACTAAATGCTGTCTGAAAATTATAATTCTGATTCAAGGACCTCCCACAGAGTTGGAGCTGAAAAACACCACCTGACTGTCTATGGACCACTAGAGGCTGCCTTCTAGTCCTAAGATATGTACTTGTTCATTCCCAGCATCTCCGAGCTCACTAGGAGAAGTGCAGCTAGCAGAGGTATGTGAAGGGGCTGACAAAATTTTGAGGGGATAAAAGCAGGATCAAAAGGAGAAGCAAAGACATCTCAAGACCAGAGTATGAAACATACACATTTACAAGTAAAGAGAGAAACAGAGTGAATTATGGTTATTCTACCTCTTCTGCCTGCTCCCTCCTAAAGCTTCAAGGCTGACATTAATCTGCTGAAAAGAGGGGCTACAAAGGCTGAACTTGGCAAGAGAATATTCAATACTTTATCTGGTGGCACAAGGAAGCCTATGTCAGGTCTCTCCTTGCGTGTGCCACAACATCATGGAAGAAGCCTGAATATCACTGCCCCTTACCCCTTCCTTCTCCCTGCTGGTCTCAATGCTTAAACCAAGTGAAATACCTTCTATACACACACACACACACATACATACCCCACTGATATAGAATACTGGGGAACATTGTATTACAAAACACATGACTGTGAAATCACTATGATGACTGATGTGGTATACACACAAAAAAATGGGATTTGCTAAATAAAGAATATCAAGGTACCCCGAATAAAAGGACAAGATGACGAAGTTACACACCCTGAGTTTATTCCCATGGGATATTTTTGGCCTTTACACAGTACCTATCTGGTAGGGATTCCAACAATCCACACAGGAGTTTAGTGGAAAGACTCAGCTAGCTCTGAATTGGAGAACAGCTGCTATTACAAATGGTTTTTATATGTGGATGTAATAACAGTTTGTGGTTACAGGCACATTCTCAAGGGGAAGACTAGCCAAATGAGACGATACATACAGCAAGCTGTTTCCCAGAAAATAGTCTTCAGGGCTTTGAG